AGAGTTTTTGTAATATGCCATATTTGGTGATACTTTTCATAATTGAGTGTTGCCTAATATATTGTGTAGTTCGAGGCTCACAAACGTACAACGTTTTCTTCGCCTACGGGTGCCTTTTATCTATTTTATATGAACGTTTTCGTTCTGTACTAACGACTTGCCATTATATTTTCACCAAGGATATTTATTACGTGTATATGTGTGAAATCTATATAGACGTATTTAGAACTTTAAGACATCCTACCATTGCTCTACTAACATCGCTCTCTCTACACGAAATTTATAGGAAATGTAAATATAAAAAATCGCAATCCTTGTAAATACAAATACAATAAGTAAATGGCTTTGAAACAAAAATTCCCCTAAACGATGAAGACTGTCCGTATGTTTACGTAGAAAATAGTTACAAAACCTTGTTACCGTACCCAGTTACCATAACCATAAGAGGTCCTATGTGTATTGTACACATTCACATTTGAATCCCAGAGGTGTAGACGTGGTAGATTTATTTTAAGAAATCATTGTATACCTAAAGAGGCAAATCTTAATTACAAATTAATTAATAGTATTTCTTCAATTGCTGTAAATTTGAGCAACTTGTATTTATCACTAATATTATAAGAAATTTGTAAATTTTAAAGCCAATTTAATAAATTTTAATAAATAAATAATATTTTCATTTTAACCTTATGTCCTGTAAAATAAATGTTAACTTTTTACACTTGTATTAATAATTATTTTATAATTTACATTGTAAATATATTTAATAAGGTTATGTAAATATTTAAAAAGGGTTGGTACACTGTTAACATTTCATTTTTAGTTGACAATGTCAGAATCACATACGTAATGTGAAAATGTAGAATGGAAAGGTATGGTGCACAATTTGTAATAATTATTTTGACAGCTTGTACAGTAATTGCATGTATCATTATAACTTGTCAATAAATAGTAATAAAACTTTATTTTGTAGGTGTTAAATCCTCTAGACGCTATTTGCGATATACCAAGAAATGACGCCGTATGTGTTAGTAACTTGAAATCATCTAAACCGGTGGACAAGGCAATACTACAAGAGAGACCAGACGTAAAAATATTCTTGCCATTCCGTTTCCATTTTTATAGGCCTAAGGAGCTATTCCAGGAAAACACGTACAAAAACTACTTAGGTAAGTACAACTCTAACTAGAATATAGCTAATATAACTAGAACATACTATACAATAGATTGAAACATTTAGGAAGAGGAAGATCACATTATCTCGTTATTTACTCGTTATCGCTGATTATTATTTTGTTTTTCCAGTTGGCGGTTTCGGTGGTGATCATGTATTGAGTTTGGTGGATGAGATATCATATGTAGCAGCTCCTGCGCCCCCGTTGTCGCAGATGCATGAACTCCCAGCTGACCTGTTCTGCAACGGTGACAACCGGCCCGCCAACTGCCCTGTAGACTGTCGCTGCACACACATGATTGATGTACCTCTTAACTCTGTTGTTGAAATCGTCCTCGTCGATGAAGGTAACTAACACTCATACTACCGCATTCCTGAGCTGTTGACTGGCCTACTGTCTCCCTTAATGTGGGTATAGTAATTAAATATGCTAAGGAACAGCTTAAATAATGATTAAAAAAGAAAGATCATAACATTTTTCACGCAATATTGAATAAACTTTTATAGTCCACTGACTACTGTACCCTTCGTGTCGTCTCACCTTTCTACTCGTACATTACGGTTATTTTTATGATAATCGCCGAAAGCATTCATCTTCTTCGTATCTTTCCAGTGCAATCGCCAAATCTGTCACATCCATTCCATCTTCATGGAACGCCGTTCAACGTCATCGGCATGGGTCGTTCTCCTGATAAGAATATTAAGAAAATCAACCTCAAGCACGCGTTGGATTTGGACAGGAAAGGCCTATTGAAGAGACAGTACAATCTTCCTCCATTTAAGGACACATTGGCTGTGCCGAACAATGGCTACGTTGTTATAAGATTGAAAGCTGATAATCCAGGTAAAGAGAGAATGTTTTTTACTCCATTAAAGAAGAGAGCTACAACTGAACTACTCTAATGGCTTATCCATTACGCCAGTACAGTAGGACACTAGTGCTCAAACTGAGCGCTGACTTAATGTAAACTAACTGGTGCCATTATGCTTATACAGTCCATGCCAGGCCAGCGTTACTATCTCCTGTACTGGCAAAATGAAAGCCAATATTCTCTTTAATAATTCAAGCTTCAAATGAAAAAAGGGTCTTGACAGACGGACGGACAACAAAGTGATTCTATAAGGGTACCGTTTTTTTCCTATGAGGTACGAAACCCTAATAAAAATGTCTTTCTCTTGTTATTTCAGGCTACTGGTTGTTCCACTGCCACTTCATATTCCACATAGTGATAGGGATGAACTTGATTCTGCACGTCGGCACGCAAGCAGACCTGCCGCCCGTGCCACCCAACTTCCCTAGATGTGGCAACCATTTGCCAGCTATCACGCCTGCGTACTTGCCAATACTTCATTGAGAATAACCAGCCAACCGGCTTAGCTGATCTTCTAAATGGTTCTCAAGGTTTACTTAGTACCTTATAATACGAACGAAAGTCGGTTTGGTTTACAATCCGATTTGCCATATACCGATCTATCGGTAAAACGTTGCAGTGTACGAAATATTTTTTTTTGTTTATTTCTGTAAATAATTCTATTAAAGGTATTTACTTTAGATATTATAACCACGTGAAATGTCTCGTTTCATCGTTACTCTAGAGAAGGCCAAAGTTTTTCATTTACTGACCTTAAATATGTAATTTATATTATATCTGTTGCAAATATATTTGTGAAAACATTATTTTCATTGAATATATTTATGTATTATGTTTTTTGTTGCTTGTTTTGTAGTTTTATAAATAAATAAGTTGTAATTAAATCTTTGTAGTTTTAAATGTAGGTTAGTAAAGTCAGGTGTAAAATGTTCCATTTCTAATTATACTTTGTACGTGAAATAAATTTTCAAATTACTCTATCCATATGACCATTGTATTCGATTCGATGTATTGATTGGTAGCTGCAAAACAATCCAACTCAATTTAAAAAGTCTTTTTCTAACGACAGTCATTTATATTTTTATGACAACTATTTGAAATTTGTGTGACAATAATTTATAGTGTGTATGTAAACAACTTTTAGCAAAATTGCAAACTTAGGTCCTTATGGACCTAAGTTTGCTTTGAGCTAAAAATATTAAGGAAAGTTAGACCGTTTTGAAGCTGTCAACAATATTCACCTAACCGTGGGTTTCCGATACCAAAATCTCTGCAAATAATCATTATAAAACAATGTTTTAAACGGAGATTTTAGTCTCAAAAACTCACGGTAAAATGTATAGTCGATATAAGTTGAAATTGGAATGTATTGTACTGACTTTCAAAGACTGTGAACCGTAACAAACGTTACTAGTTCTTGGTTCTTTGAATACTGCTGCTACAGTAGTGTTAATTTCTCTTCATGTAGGATGGAAACCGGGAAAACTCACACGGTATCGTTTTACTTAAGCTGGATTTGCGTTGGTACAAGATTTTATTAATTATTTCATATATTTAGCATCAAAATAGCCCGCCAATTATTTTATTGCATCAAGAAAGTAAGACTGAGTTAACAAATATAACCTAAAATTTATAACGTAAATAATATTGGAAAACATAACATAAAAATGCTATGATATTCTTTATCCTTTTTTAAAATAATAAAAAAAATAAAAAAATTTATTTTAAAATATTAAATATACGTTTATATAGCCAATATTTAAAAATCATCAAATGCAAATCCAGCTTAAGCCAAACGTTTGGAGTCTTCGGCGACTTGACACAGAGTAGCATTTTAGTGTAAAATGGACTACTGTGGTAGGGATGCCACGAGGGGTCTAATATATTTAACATATATCTTGTTGATGTATTACAATGATCTGTGTTAAATTATATTCATTGATTAAAAATAAAATAACAGTCATCTTGACGTTAAAATAAAAAATACAAAAATAAAATATACATTTTTATTTCTTTTAACATCCATGCCTTAACTATCTCATCACCACCTGCCTATCCTTTTCCCACTCATTTGTTTATTCTTATTAATATTTTAAATGCGAATATTTATACGGATGTATGTTAGTAAGAAGGTATCTCTGGAACAGCTCAACGAATCTCGGTGAAATTGGAACAGATGTAGAACATAGTTTACAAGGACACATAGGCTACTGGTTAAGTTTATTATTAATTCGGAGGACGGAGTCGCGGGCGACAGTTAGTATAAAATAAAATTATATTTAACTTATATGACGACAATTGTTTCTTGCAGAGAGCTATTGTCGATGTATTGGTAAAAAGAATGACTAACTTCTCGTGTCTTGGTATTGTTGTGAGATCTGAAAAATAATACCAATATTTTTAAACTCTAAACCACTTTGAATTAATAAAATATTCGCTTCAAATATTACACTACATACCTGCTTTGTTAAATATTGTAATTACCCGTATACGCTATGTTAAGTGCAATAACAAACTTTAAAACGTTCAATAACTCTGTGCATTTCATTGCTTAACTTATTTAAGTTAAATTATTATTGTAAATCAATAAGGTCTTAAAGTAAGTATAATTCAAAAAATGTGCTGGATAAACCAACTTTTGATGATTATCAATTTAGTTGCAATTTTACTTCGTAATTATACACTTATTTATTAAATTTGTTAACGTTTAGAATATATCCACGACCCAGTAGTTCGGCGCCCCTGCAAAAAGTCTTTTTAAATTGTTCGATGGTAAACATATTTTTATTAATATTACAACTACAAACAAAATGGGTTCAAATGTAGCCATTTATTTTCTTTTGTTTATTTGTCTACCATTTCTTCTTACAGGTAAATACAACACCGTTTTGCTTTTGTTTTTCAGAAAATTGATTATGAAAAAACAATAATTCATAATGATTTACTTATGTTGAAATAACGTATGGTCTAAAACTGTGTGCATTAATATTCTAGTGTCATTACAAGAAACAGTACCACGAGTCACTGGTGGTCACGAAGCAACTCCGTACAGTCATCCTTATATGGTGTCCCTGCAGAAAAGGTTGCTCTGGTTCCGACTTCATATTTGTGGTGGATCGATAATTAGCAAGAATAGGGTAAAAAAATAATATATTTCCATCGTATACATACATAAGGTATTATTATTAACTAGCAGTCACCCACAAATCCGCCCGCACTGATTAAAAAAAACTTAATTAGTAGCCTGTGTTCTTCCACACTGTGTTATACATCTATGCTAAATTTCAGCGAGATCCATGCAGCCGTTCCGGATATAACTTCAAGCAAACATGCATCCATCCATCCATGCATCCAAACATTCGCATTTATTATATAAATAAAAAGTAAGAAGTAAGATGTCGCGTGATTTTTCAAGTATATAAATATGCTAATAGTTAAGTTAATACAAATTTTACGAAAATAGGAAGATCAATTAACTGTTCTCTTTATCGTAAATAATGTTAGAATCCATAGATTCTCAACTATTTTAAAACCAATGTAAATGTTATTTTCAGATATTAACCGCGGCACATTGTGTATCGGATTCATTTGTAATGAAATGGTTACCTTTGGATGCAATAGCAGGAATTCATAATAACTATTACTTCGGACGACAAGCTCAAATAAGGACAATATTTAAAAAATATCCACATCCTGATTATAACGGGTATTCCATTTTAATACAAAACTGTTGTAAGCGAAATGATAATAGAAATGTTTTTTTTATATATCAATATGAAATATGAAATAGCAAAGTGACCGTTGCCCATAGACATACGCAATTGCATATGCATTGCCTACCTTTAATCGACGGAGGAGAGGATGCACAGATAGAAAACATTTCCATGCATCCTCTCATCCGGAAAGTCCACTTCCACTTTCCATCCTTATAAGAAAAAGTGTAGGAAGGGAAAGAGGACTAAATTAGACCTCCGGGACGCACACTCATCAGACTAAACGCGGAATTGCGTCCACTTCACGCCTGTCTTCTGCGTGGGCGTGGTATTTCACCGGGCGAGCCAGGCCAATTCGTGCGAAAATGTTAAAGCGGGCTCTACTACTGTTAAAATGTGTAAAGATTGAGACATTTTTTTGCAGGGGTATTGGATCCCATGATATCGCAGTTCTTTACACGTTCTCGCCGTTTAAATTTACACGAGAATTACAACCGATTAGTTTACCTAACGATTTGAAACTCGATCAACAATTATTAACTATATCGGGCTGGGGTCTTCTCAGTACAAGTATGTTTATGTTAGATTTTCCTGAAAAGTTACAAGAAATTGAAGTTACATATCTCCCTTACGAAGGTAATACTTTAAATGATATAAAAAAAACTAAAAAAGCATGTCGAAAGTAGAAGACAGTTATTGTTACAACTAAGAATAGGAGATATAAAAAACCACATCAAAATAAATCCATTCCTTTCATAGTTAAAGCGATTGCTAAAGACAGGATGTTTTAAAAAACTCGGCTTTTTGCATCGGGGTTAAAAATGGAATTATCTGCATATGAAAAAACTAAAGTTAACAATTGTTATATATTCTTGATTCTTTCAGATTGCTATGAAGCTATAGAAGGCGTTAAAGACGAAGATGAAATAAATCCTTTAAATGCTGAGACCCATATCTGTACAGGACCAATCACTGGCGGAGTAGCCGCTTGCAGTGGAGATTCCGGAGGACCTTTAGTTTTACATATTGTTAAAGATTCTAATGCAACAAAAGAAAATGATAGCAATGAAGGTGTGACTGTTGAAGATTACTATAATTCGACAGTTGTATTACTGGGAATTGTTTCTTGGGGCTTGACACCATGCGGTGAAGAAGGTGCACCAACGATTCATACGAAAGTATCCTCTTATCTTGATTTTATAAACCAGCATTTGCGTAAATAATATATTCCAGAAGTTAAGGTTATGTAAAATTATTTTTTTACTCTTATAGAAATTAAGTTTAAAATTATTTCTATTTTTCACATCGCAACTCTTTTTGCTTCTTATTATTCTATGTTTAAAAGTTTTTATCAATTATTATATATAATAATATGTTAAATAAAATCAAAATATATTAGTCTTATAACTTTTATTATTAAACAAAGTAATCCTATTATAATTAATTATATTCAGTCTATTATCCGATTAATTTAAAAGCACATCAGCGGGTTTATAACTACCACATTTCGGTAAAACATCGACTACAGATTTAGGAATGGTTATTGGAACATCGATGAGGATGGCGACAGGTAATGAAAAGAACCCACAGGATCTGCACTCCAACATCCAACTGCCTCCTCTATCAGCATTCAATCTTAATATCGTGTACCCTTTGTTGGGTACGATGAATGTATCCTTAATTGGCGGATTTCTTAAATTTCTGAAAAACAAATAGTGTATTTTTATGCTGATGACATCTTAATTTACCAGCATAATAATGCATATTACAACCTCTTACTTAGGATATCAAGCTACTTCGTGGAGGCAGTATATGGAGCTGACGATAATTAATATGTGTAATTTATTGAACCATGCCCAGCCACAGCTGTGGAGCTTCAGTTGATAATAATTGTGGTCAAAACAATTTAGCCAAGAATTTAGGGACGCTATATTAGGGTACTTCTTATGTTTAGTCCGTGCCAAAAATATAATGCTATAGAAACATTAGGGGCGAAGTTGTTTGCCTCAAAACAGTAAGGAACATAACTACGTCATAATCATCAGCTCACTAAACGTCACCACCGAGGGGCTCGGAGCCTAACCTAAGTTACGGGTGACTAGGCCATAGTCAACCACACTGGCCTAGTGCGGGTTGGTTGACTTCACACATATCTTTGAATTACTTCTCAGATATGTGCAGGTTGCCTCACGATGTTTTCCTTCAGCGTAAGAACTTCGGATAAATGTACATATGTAAATCGGAAATTGAAAAACACATTGGTACATGGCGTGATTCCAACCCAGGACCTGCAGATTGTAAGTCAAGTGCTTGACCACTGAGCCACCGACGCTCTCCATAATAACGTTCAACCATAACTACGTAGTCCTCGAAAATTGTAGTTGGTTAACACTATTGTCTAAGTATTTAATTTTAAATCGTACCTTTCAATTTTTCCCCTTTTATCGAGTAATTGAAACTCTGATTTTGAAATCGGTTTACCGTCTTTACTTTGGCCGGTGGCCAGAACTCTCATCGAATACCCATGCATATGGAACGTGTAAGAATCATTGCTTCCAAAACCTGTTATATATAATATTTAAATTAAAAAAACTATCACTAAATGTATATTTTCTGTCTTCACGAAAGAGATCTCCAATCATTTGTATGTTCTTATTTTTTTTTTATATGGTCACTTTTTCAGAACATATTTTTTCTTTAACTTCCTTTGTTTGGATTTTTACAAGCAATTCGTCACTTTCTACGAATTATATAATTTTCTATCCTATACTTATAGAAAAATTAATATTCTTACCTTCGTTTATAAAAACTAGTTCCACAACTTTTTTGTCATGTATTTTCAAAACTTGTAAACATTGCAATTGTTTATTCATCATTTCATCCCCCACGTTGCAAATAGTATCAGGTCTTACATTGCGAGGCTTAATAAGGTACGGGTCATTTGGATATAGGAAATTTTTATTATTTATTTGTACAACACCTCTGTCTTGTAATGCTGTAATTCAAAATATTAAAAATTATATCACCAACAAAATACTAAACATTTAGTAATTTTATATTAAGGCTAAGAGGGATTTTGAAAAACTTAAAAGTTACTGAACTAAACGCCAAGCTATCCTCCTCCTCCTCTCGTCCTCTCGAGATACCTACAAACAAACTTCCATCCATGTATCCATCCAAAAAATTTATAATATTAGTAAGATGGGCAAACACATTGATAAATGCATTTTTTACAATAAGCATGCATCGCCTTGATTGAGTTTAAAAAAAAGAGATGATAACATGTTTTATACAAGGATTTCGGTAATAGAAATTCATTGTAACTTTGTACTTACAAACAGCGGCAGGATAAAAGTTTTTCTTTGGTGTAACATCGCTTAGATATCTATAATCATTGTCTTTATCGTTAAACGGTATAACATGTTTGTCGACTGCCAAGTATATAGATTTGACATCTTTGCTAAGATTTTCTTCTTGTAGAGACAATAATCTTTGGCCGCTTATTATCTTTTGCTTAATAGACGGTACATCATTATTCAGCGTCTGAAATAATATTAAAGAAACTTCTTTAATTAAACACTAGTTTTTTCTCGCGCATCCGACTGCACGAAATTAAAAATAAAGCTTAATTAGAAGCCTGTATGTGGCAATATAGTTACAATGTCATCCAGACTATGTTCTACATCTAAACCTAATTTCAGCGTGATCCGATGAGCTGTTCTACTGATACCTATTAACAAACATCCATCCATACATAGAAGCTATCACATTTATATTAGTAAGATTAATGCAATGATCCATCGCAACTTTTAGAGTAAAACAATTTATCCAATTATTATCCAATAATACCGTGATTCTCTAACTATCTAATTGAAAATGTAGGTCAGCAGTAGCAAACCTTTAGTATGCCATCGTTCTAAAGAAACGTTTAATGAGATCATAGATGTGCCATCAAATAATTATTGGGAAGATTCCGTGGTGTAAGGGATCAATTGCGTCTGTTAGTGACGTAGTAACATGCGCAAAATCACGCGCCATTATTTGCCGTGCTATTGGCTCGCTGTCCCCGAATTAGGTTAAAAAATAAATTCACCTTTCCCCCTGGGCCTTGATCTAATAATGACGTATAGTTGAATCCTGAGTACAGCAGCATGCCATGTGCCGTTAAACCTTCGCATTCGTTGCCTCCGCGAACATTCACCCAGTAGCCACCACTCTTGTGCACCGCTTCCACAACAACGTCCATGCGCTCCCCTGAAATATTTGAAACACATAAAGTAGAACAAACAAAGCGGACTTCGATGTAGGCCTAGGAAGATATTAACGGATTGCGTAAAGGGTAACATGATTAAGAAGATATGCCAGAAATAACGAATGGAAGATTGATGTTTAGGACGAAAACCACTAAGCACTACCCTTAAGATGATTGAGAGAAAGAAATAGCAATAAGGTTATTATAATTTGTTCAATTTCTATAAATAACAATGAATCTTTTTTTGTTTACAATTTTTTTTACGCTAAAAAAGATAAATTGCATTTAGTAACTTAGAAAGTAAAATGAGGCGAGGCAAAACCGGTTTTAGCGCTGACCTTAAACTCGTAAGTGGACCAAAAGAGACAAATAATTATTGCCTTTCTCCTGTCTTTCAGTAGCGCGGTGAAAACGACACAAACATTGCACTTTTACTTTTTCACTGACTATGCAGTTCGAAATGTTATTACATTCATAATCTTCCTCGGAGTGTCAAAGAGAACCTGACAATTCCAGACTGCTACTTCTAGCGCTATATCTCCTAGCTAAGAAGTAATTCAAAGATACATATGTGTGAAGTCAACCAAACCGCAATGAGCCTGCGTGGTTGACTAAGAGTTAGCCCCAATTTAGGGTAGACTCCGAGCCCCTCATTGAGGACTTATAGTGAACTGAAGATGATAACTTCACAAAAAAAACTACGCGATAGCGACCCTACAATTGTGGATGCCGCTAATTCAACGAATAGAAATGCTCCTTTCTTTATGAATAAGAACTATTAAAATAAATATTTATAGCTCATGTGGATCAACAATTTGATTTACACGTTAATCATTTTCTATATTATATAACTGCATTAGTTGGCTTGCGCCATGCTTATTAACATGAGCAACAGTGTCGCAAAGGTAATCTGCCGTGCACTCTATTTTTGTTACTTCCTTAAACTTCTTACGCCAGAATCATATATAATAGGAAGAAAGATCCACACCAATACAGTACGATAATTAAAAATAAATAATGTATACGAAAACACATATAGACTTCGTTAAGAAATTAGAATGTGCAAAACCTCCCGACCGTTTCACTGTTGCGGTTTCAATGGCAGAGAAAGTAAACAAGCTTTACGCACTTTATCAAGTCATGTTTGCAGCGAAAGTTAACATTTTCCTAGGTACTTTTCGCCCATCGAAAGGGAACAATTTGATATTTTGTGTTAAGAAATAGTTATTTTTTTTATTAATTATAAGGCAAGGGAGATGTGCCAGAACCAAGAAGAAGTCGGCTCCTCCTGCCTCCTACCTGTGTCTACTCCTATGGGTTAAGAGCGTCATTTGTTTTATTGTTGTACACAAGGTAATTTCGAAATGTTTAATATTTGCGCAGCAAATCTTGTAGGTTACCTTGAAACACAAGATTGTAAATGATTTCACTAGCGTATGGTGCCTTTCAAACCAGAACGCAGTTATGCTTCCAAATTACTGATAAGTGTAAGAAAAAATCGTCTCGGAAATCAAAACAAGTTAATTTGTTTCAAAAAAACATACTTAATAATAACAGAATTAAAACATCTTTGAAAATTAGGAATAAGATTATTTCAATGCGATAGAAATATTTTTCTATAAGAATTTATCGAATAAATGGATTTATCATTTAAAACAGAGTAGGTACAGATATTCGGATGCTATTGGAATTTTAAAAATCGATTTTTGATCAAAATGGATTTTCCTTTATTAAAATTATTGCCAATAAATAAGAAATAGTTCCACATCGAACATTCATTACAAAAGATAATACGTACCTGGATAAAGCATCACTTTATCCGCTGACATCGGTTTTACTGGTTTGCTATCGCTTGCTATAACGATCATATTGTGGTGCTCGATGTCAACTATCAGTGGACATTCAACTGCTACGGCATTTATCAATCTCAGCCGATATGTGTATCCGGGTATGACAAAAATTCTGAAAAGTAAATAAATATCATTTAAATAATGGCAATAAGAAAAA